TTAATTCAAAGTTTTTCTGATAGATCTTTCGTTAGTCTACATTTTCCTAATAAAGTTATATTGTTGCCAGATGAAATACAGATCCTTCATTGTCTATACTATGACCTTATATTTCACATATATCATATACGATTTACAATTACATGCGTGATTTTTTATAAAAACAACCTTGTCCAAATTTCTCTTATATATCATTCGAAAGAGCTTTTTAAGCTCTACAAAATTATCTATTTCTAAGAATTTTAAAAAATGGGCCCGTAAGTCAAAAATGTCACATAATGACATGACTATATATGAAAAAAAAAAGACTTTTGATTTGTTTTTCAACACCTATAGCAAAATATATGTATTTGATGAGCAATTTATTTTTTATATTAATTGATCAATTAATGACCGATGCTAAGCGCTTCATCCAGATGTTCATGAATCAAATGATAATATAAATTATAATTATGCTTGTGTTATCGTGCTCTAACATGTAGCTGGATCAGAGTCAGGGTTGCCATGCGGAAGGGGAGGGAAAGTAGAATCAGCCCATATGTTATTGGAATACTCTTAGCCAGTGGGAATATTACGCAAGCAAACTGTACCCGAAATGAATACATACGGCTGCCATAATCGGAATATATTTCTTTCCTTATAATTATCGAGAATTTATTAGTGACGTCAGTGTCTATGGGTATATTCCTGGTCTTCACATGTGACTGTCTTATAATAGTTTTTTTATGGATGCTGACTAGTTAATAATGCACTCCCTAAGCACAATTAATATCATAAGTGGTTAGTTTCATATTAGTGTCGTGATAAAGCTATTTTCGCTTGTCTATTGTGAAAACAAGTTGTGTGTGCCGAGCAGAATTTTCGAAATCTATATTCAAAATGCCGCACACTAATCGTCCAAAATGTGTTGCTTGCGATCGAACTATTCGAAGTGGAAATATACGTTTTTTATCCACAAATCTCCCCAGAATTTTTGTGTCCATTGAACAACGTAAACGAGTCACAGCCACCGATGCTATATGCGAGAGTTGTCGATTGAAATATATTCGATGGAAGAAATTGACGATGGGTGATTTTGACCAATTTAATACCATTGATCAAGATGATTCGGAACCCGATGATGAAGTAAATGAAAATGTTGACATGGTAATATTAACTTTATTTGAATACAAAACTTGATGATTTTTCTCATAGATAATGAGTGTTTCATCTTCAATTTCAATCGATGAAGAGGATGAAAAAATAGATTCTATGGAAGAGAAGGCAACAACGATTAGTTTTTCTGTATATCGTTGTTCGAAATCGCACAGGTAAAATATTTTCTCTTTCATATTATTATATTTGGTATAGTATATGTAGGTATTGTATCGTGTGCAAAGAACCTAATCCGAAACCAGTACATGTATTAACAAAAGAACAACGGACAATGGTTTTTCTAAAACGAGGAATTCTTGTACCTGAAAATGCTCGTTGTTACTCTCTGCATGTATAAACGTGAGCTTACTTATGAAGCGTTAGAAATGATTGAACCTTCAAAACTTGATGATCTGATTTTAAACGGTGACGATGTGAAGAATTTAATGGTTGATTTTCGTTTAACTATTAATTCTACTAAATCATTCGATTTTGATAATCCGAGTAGCCTTGATGACGATGGTTACAAAACAATTACCGGTCTAAGTCGAGGTTGATAATTCTTTTTTTTTATATAGCTTTAGTAATGATAATTTTGTTCTGTTTAAGATAATTTTCATGATGTGCTTGATCATTTAACGACTATGCGCAATTCTAATGTGCGTTCTGTTAGAGTTGCTCTTGCTGTATTCCTTGCTAAGATGCGACTTGGACTTAGCAATCGTGTCTTAGCTTGTCTTTTTCATCTCAAAAGCAAGCGAACAGTGTCTCGCATATTCCATCAAGTGCGAGAAGCATTGATGAAAAGTTTTGTGCCATTAAATCTCGGCTTCGAACATATCACACGTGATGCAGTTCTCAATTCTCATCAAACAGTCATTGCGACTGAGCTTCTTACAAATGAACCTGATCAAATTGTTTTAATAGCTGATGGAACATATCTTTATTGTCAAAAGTCGTCAAACAACGAATTCCAGAGACGCACCTACAGTAATCATAAACATCGTCATCTAATCAAACCAATGGTAATCACTGCGAGTGTGAGTATGATAAAAAATCGAAGATTAAAAAAGGAAAAAAATCTAATAAATTCGAAAAGTCGTGATTATATTCAAGAAAGAATCGGGGATGTTGATTGGTTTGTAGTTTATTGAATGAACTTTTATAAGAAGACAAAAAAAGTAGTTTAAACTTCATATGCCTTCTTATATAGATCTATTGAAGCTTGACATTTTTTTGCTTTTTTGAAAAAAGAAACGATACTGTCTTTTTATCTTTAAATATAAATATAAATATTTTGATTATGTTCACTTTTCAAAAATCAAAAATCTGACCTTAAGTGTTTCAAAAGGGATTTTTTTCTATATCTTTTCTTCTGGAGAAACAATAAAAATAAACTAATATCCTTGGTGAAAATATCTAATATATTTTTAAGAAGAGACCTTTTTAACGTGAAAAATTAAGAATAAAGAGGTATGAAAGAAGAAAGAGTTTCTTGACCTGTTTTCAAGCAGATTGACGCATTCTTTGGAAAATGATGCAAAGACAAAATGTACATTAATCAATCATAATAATCTGTGTGTAAAGTAGCCTAAAAGAGACCTGATAGTGAGGTAAACGTTCTCGTTGCTTAAACAAAAACGTGATGTACTTGCAATTGATATACGTTTTCTCAGATGCTCAGATTAAAATTGATTAGGATTTGTTTGATGATTGATTAACAGCATATATTTTGTTCAGTTATTAATCAATGTCGAATTTATTCATATTAAAAATGATCAAAATAGTAACTTTTGTACGGTACTATACTTTGAATCTGTTTTAACCGATCAAAATCGATAATTATCATTGATCATGCTCGTTGATTGTGAGTGAATTGGAATAAACGAGCGTAATCGGTCATAACTATAAAACTTCTAGTTGATTATTAATCGATCTTTAAATGAATATAATCAAAAATAATCCTGTAATTATGCAAGTAAAGATTATAAGGACTGATTTTTGGTTGTAATCGATTCGGAATCGATTAATAATTAATCTTTAATCAAATTGTAATAAAAAAAAATTAATTTCGTGTTGATTTTTGCATAATACCTTTTGCATAGCAATAGGTATGCACCAAAACCAAAACTGGTTTTGAAGTTTTGGTTTTGAATTTTGATTTTGATACGGTTTTGGTTTTGGTTTTGGCATATAATTTGTTTTGAACTATCTCAAAGCTAAAACCAAACCATCAAAACCAAACCCTATGCCAAAACCAAAAACTATATCAAAATCAAAACCTATGTCGAAACCAAAACCAAAACTTCAAAACCAAGAGTTTTGGTTTCGGTGCATGTCTACATAGCAAATAATTCCTTGTATAGGATGGCTATATACTCAGTGTGCTGGGTCCATTTTTCGCCAACTCGTCAAACAATGATGCTGCAATTTTAAAACATTGTGTGCTCAATAATGAACAACAGGTTTTGACTTGGTTGCGTGACAATGATATCTTAGTATTAGATCGCGGGGTAAATTTTTGGACAAAAATAGTTCAAATATTTCATATTGTTTTCTTAGTTTCGCGATGTTGTCAATACACTAATTCGTCTTCGCCTCCAAGTCGCCATACCAGGTTTTTTTACACAATCAAAAGCAGTTTTCACCAGATGAAGCGAACAGAAATCGTTTTGTTACAAAAACTAGATGGGTAATTGAAAGCGGTAGGTTGCAACTTCCGATGATGACTATGAGCGAAACTGCTCGAATAATTAATGAAAAGTTATTTTTTGCGATTTTTTAATATCCTAGTCAATGGAAAAATCAAAAACTGGAAGTTTTTCGCACAAACGCTTCAAAATACATCGCTCCCATTTGCTGGAAACTGCTTAGATATTGTGTGCGCTCTTATTAATAAATATTATTGTCCAGCCATTGCAAATATCGAAGGTGGCCAAGGGATTGCCACACAAATGCGTGAGATGTGGAGGGACGAAAATGCATTGCTAAAGCATCTCCAAGAACTAAATAAGAAAAAACCATTGCGCTGGACTAAATTCGATGCTGCCATGTGTCTGTTCCCGTCACTCACAGAGGATGATGTGCGCAATCTCACTTTTGGTACGTGTGAATTTATGTCTTCCATTTGAAGATTTTGTTGTTCTAGGATCATACCAAATCAAAATGGCAAAATCTTACATAGTCGATCATCTTCAACAGTCCGATATTAATAATGAACAACTTGAATTTATTGTGGAACTGTGTGAAGAGCATGATGATTTGGTACAAGCAAAATTTTAGTCACGCCATTCAAATCATAAAAAACATACAGCTACGGTGCAATTTAACGAGAAAAAGGAACAACCTATAACTGCATGGTACTGTACATGCTCCGCGGGTAGTCGCGAAGTAGGTATGTGCTCTCATATAACAGCATTACTGTGGCATCTAGGAGTTGAAAGAGCAATGATACCTACATCGATTCATCCACTTTCAGCTTCAAAATTACTTACTGCTACCGATGATAGCATGAAGTTTTCCGATGATGAATATAACTCCGACAATGATGTAAATGATTTTCGTGGCTCCACTGAAACAGTCAACAACAGCGCCGATACAGAATTAGATTGGTAATAAGAACGTAGATTATCGTTTTGACTGCTTTCATACTAATATTTTCATTATTGTATTTGCGTTATTCGCTTCATGATGATTGTTAACACAATCATCAAACGAGTCTAATTCGAATCATCAGAAACTCGATGAACCACTTCAGTAGTGACTAAGTATCATTTACCATTTTCTTTTCAATAAGGTACTAATCTATCACATCATCCTCAATATACATTGATCTAGAAATTTCCTAGAGAAAGATAACACAAGCACAATTATAATTTATATTATCATTTGATTCATGAACATCTGGATGAAGCGCTTAGCATCGGTCATTAATTGATCAATTAATATAAAAAATAAATTGCTCATCAAATACATATATTTTGCTATAGGTGTTGAAAAACAAATCANTGCAACTATAAAATAAGTGGCCGTACGTAAATTGTAGAGCTTTTCACACTGCATCTTATGGTACATTTTGGTTGTTCATACAATGTATTAAGGGATTGAAAACTAGTCCGTTCTCACACGCTGTGATCTAGTACAACCAGCACACAACCAGCCGAAATAGGTTTTATAGATAATTTAATATTATTATTTTAGTTGAAGTACAATCAAATAGCATAGAAAAATAAAGCATTTTTTTCTTTATCAGACTATATAGAAAGAAAGTTGCTTAAAGCTTATCATAAGGTATTAAGGTATCACTCTACGAACTTTTGGTATGTCCTAAGTACTTACAATCGATGTACGTTTTCTCAGATGCTCAGATTAAAATTGATTAGGATTTGTTTGATGATTGATTAAAAACATATATTTTGTTCAGTTATTAATCAATGTCGAATTTATTCGTATTAAAAATGATCAAAATAGTAACTTTTGAACGGTACTATACTTTAAATCTGTTTTAACCACTCAAAATCGATAATTATCATTGATCATGCTCGTTGATTGTGAGTGAATTGGAATAAACGACCGCAATCAGTCATAACTATAACACTTCTAGTTGATTACTAATCGATCATTAAATGAATATAATCAAAAATAATCCCGAAATTATGCAAGGAAAGATTATTAGGACTGATTTTGGTTTTAATCGATTCGGAATCGATTAATAATTAATCTTTAATCAAATTGTAATAAAAAATAATTAATTTCGTGTTGATTTTTGCATAATTTGTTTTGCATAGCAATAGGTATACACCAAAACTGGTTTTGAAGTTTTGGTTTTGAATTTTGATTTTGATACGGTTTTGGTTTTGATACAGTTTTGGTTTTGGAGGTTTTGGTTTTGGTATAAGCTTTTGTTTTGAAGGTTTTGGTTATAATCATATTAGTCTTCGATTTAGTTTTGGCTTTGGTATATAACTTGTTTTGAACTATCTCAAAGCTAAAACCAAAATCATCAAAACCAAAACCATACAAAAACCAAAACTTCAAAACCAAGACTTTTGGTTTTGGTGCATGCCTACATAGCAAATAATTCCTTGTATAGAATGGCTATATACTCAGTGTGCTGGGCCCGTTTTTCGCCAACTCGTCAAACAATGATGCTGCAATTTTAAAGCATTGTGTGTTCAATAATGTACAACAGGTTTTGACTTAGTTGCGTGACAATGATATCTTAGTATTAGATTGTGGGGTAAATTCTTGAACAAAAATAGTTCAGATATTTCATATTGTTTTCTTAGTTTCGCGATGTTGTCAATACACTAATTCGTCTTCGCCTCCAAGTCGCCATATCAGGTTTTTACACAATCAAAAGCAGTTTTCACCAGATGAAGCGAACAGAAATCGTTTTGTTACAAAAACCAGATGGGTAATTGAAAGCGGTAGGTTCCAGTTTCCGATGATGACTATGAGCGAAACTGCTCGAATAATTAATGAAAAGTTTTTTTTTTTGCGATTTTTTAATATTCTAGTCAATGGAAAAATCAAAAACCGGAAGTTTTTCGCACAGACGCTTTAAAATACATCGCTCTCATTTGTTGGAAACTGCTTAGATATTGTGTGCCCTCTTATTAATAAATATTATAGTTCAGCCATTGCAAATATCGAAGGTGGCCAAGGGATTGCCACACAAATGCGTGAGATGTGGAGGGACGAAAATGCATTGGAAAAAGCATCTTCAAGAACTAAATAAGAAAAAACCATTGTGCTAGTCTAAATACGATGCTGCCATGTATCTGTTCCCGTCACTCACGGAGGATGATGTGCGCAATCTCACTTTTGGTACATATGAATTTATGTCTTCCATTTGAAGATTTTGTTGTTCTAGGATCATACCAACTCAAAATGGCAAAATCTTATATAGTCGATCATCTTCAACAGTCCGATATTAATAACGAACAGCTTTAATTTATTGTGGAACTGTGTGAAGAGCATGATGATTTGGTACGAGCAAAATTTCAATCACGTCATTCAAATCACAAAAAACATATAGCTACGGTGAAATTTAACGAGAAAAAGGAACAACCTATAACTTTATGGCACTGTACATGCTCCGCGGGTGGTCGCGAAGTAGGTATGTGCTCTAATATAACAGCATTGCTGTGACATCCAGGAGCTGAAAGAGCAATGATAGCTACATCGATTCATCCACTTTCAGCTTCAAAATTACTTACAGCTATCGATGATAGCATGAAGTTTTCCGATGATGAATATAACTCCGACAATGATGTAAATGATTTTCCTGGCTTCATTGGAACAGTCAACAGCAGCGCCGATACAGAATTGGATTTGTAATAAGAATGTACATTATCGTTTTGACTGCTTTCATACTAATATTGTCATTACTAGTGAGAACCCGTGCATACTGCACGGCTGCTTTTTTTCCCGTGAAGTTACACTTCTGTCCTTTAGCTTTGATTGGGTAATAGACAAAAACCCAGTTCGCATTATCTGTATATATAGATCGTATAGCCTGATACCCTTGTAGAGTCATACTCTTGTTGTAGTACTCCTTATAGCCTAATTCCGTTATTTTCTTATCCCTTATATCCTTTCCAGCCT